ATTTTAAAAATGCTCTCACTATTTCTTTGCCAAAAAAATATTTACATTTGTCCTTGGCAAACCATTTGCGTACTCACCTTTTCATAGTTAAAGTTTGCGTACACCTCTTGTGTCATATGACTGACAAAGTAGCTGTCTGTTTAGTTGACTGATAGTCAACTCCAAGTGAATGTGACTCCCTTAAATGGTGTCGCAGTGGCGCTTGGAATTGGGTTTCCCAACTCACTGCAATTGCTTTTACCGCGTTTCCACTTTTCTCTCTTACGATTTCCGGGCATTCGCACGGTTATGCTGTCTGTTTTCCACTTCAGTCGTTTGGGAGTGCTGCCAGTTTGTTTTCTTGACATTGCGTTTTTGGTATATGCAGACTTATGTGGAGCTTAAATATACGGGCATTTCAAATCCCTACGTTCTATTGTGTTTGTGTTTAAATGTTTTTCCGCAAAAAAAATTGTAATTCCTCGAAGGATGAAATGTGGAAAAACGTCCACTGTCACTTAGAGTTAGTTAGGACATCAGAGACATGTTACAACTTACCCTGAATGCTCGAGCATAATTCATCTAGTGATGTTCGACTTAGTACAAATAGTGAACTGCTTAGTTTTGGTTTCAAACTTTTTTCATTCAAAATCTTCAATTAAAAACTAGTCACGTCAAGAGAAATAGGTGAGTATCTCTTATTAAAGACTGAGATAACTCCTCTAAAAAATGAGACATGTTTCGAAACATTTCTGAAATATACTAAGAACGTCGGTTAAAGCCTGAGACAGCTTCCTAAACAAAGGGACCAGTTTGGTAACCGATTTTTAAACATTTCTAAACTATATTGGGAACACCGGTCCATCAAATAATGTTTTACAAAAATATCACTATTTTTCACCTATTTACTCCTTGTGCGCCATCAAGTGTAATAAAATTGACAACTTTACCAATTCCATTCCTCGCGCGCTGCGAACACGAAGACGACTATTAAACAAACAAAGCAAATGTCAAAATATGCCACCTGCAACTGCAAGTGGCAGCAAGCCGTAAGGAGCACTCGTATACGACAGTGTACTACCGCATTCCCCTCTCACTTACGAACTAGCACTAATATCAACTTTGGTCCCGACACGCGGACACGCAAATAAATGCAAGGGAAAAGTTTGAAATTGAATATGGCCAGAAGAGTTTTGCAAGACGCCCTCAAAAGGAATGCCAAAATGCAGTAGCAACAAATATTAAATACACAAAAACGAGCGCAGCGAAAACAATTCCGGGCACAAATTGTGGTGAATGCTGCAAATGAATTGTGCGCCTAAAGCAGGAGGAAATAGAGGTAAGGAAATACACGCGTAATAGTCGTGGTCGTGGCAGTAGGCAGGAACCCAGTAACCGAATTTGGCTGCTTGGCAGTGCCGATGCGCAGCAGTTCGTTGGTAGTTGTACGAGACCTTGAGGCAACGGAAATACGAGCGGAAGAGGTTGCCGTACAAAGTTTACAATTAGAAATTTGTGAATTGAAAAGTTAGCCGGCCTGTGAGAGTATCGTGACGCACAGTTCGACACAGTGTTGGGCAACTATAAATTGATTTTCGCTTGCTTCGAATACATGTCTCACAAGATTAGACATGGAACAGAGAGTATCTATTTATGGTTGTTTTTAAATTTATGGCACCACTTAGTAAATATACAAAACTTCCATTGTTAATTAAGAAATCATGAAAGAAATCTTTCTTTGTTATTGGCAGTACTTAATGAAGATATCACATTAGTCTCAAAGAAAATCTTAAGACCGATTGAAGATCTTATTGAGCGATCAGTTTTTAGAATTCTTTTAATGTCTAAAACGGCAAATAAAATAGCTATCAGATGAGTTCGGTTTTTCAGGAGACATTATTTAACCTTTGTCAGTCATCGAGCTGACCTTTCGAGATTTCTTCGTCGATGCAGTTTCTAGTATTTTTTAATTCGGGGATATCTCTCTGTGAAAATCGTAAATTAACCGAAGTTTCAGATCTCTAGGGACGTGAACGTAATAGTTGCTGTGAACCAAAATCTTTGATTTCTCAGTATTTAAATTGTCTTAGATACTAACTTGATTAATCCACTATACATAAACTAAATTCCCAAATTATATATTAATAGCTTTAGCAAGCACTGTATTTGAATACCGAATATCGGTAGCAAGTCTTCAAATTTACCAACACTGTTGGGGTGAAGTGAGTGAAATGGCGCTAGTTAAGACAAAGTTTAGTAAGCAAAAGGAAATGAGAAAGGGAGGGCGAGAGTTGAAGAGAGGAATAGGGGGCGAATGCAGAACGGCTTAGACAAAATGAAAGACAGGAGTATTCTAGTGAAAGTAAATTGTTTGGCTTGAATGGCTTATTAAATTGATGATCATAATGATGATGATGACGAAACCGAAAAAGGCGATGGTGATAATGTCAGGGAAAGAATGTCATAAATTATATTTGCAACTAAAAATTGCTGCACCATTCGCAACGCCAGTGACTAGTAGAATGCAACCCTAATGGCCGAAACTATAATGACAATGGCCATGATGAAGATAACGGTCGGCTATGCAGGCAGCCATGTCAAATATTAGAAAACTACTAATGACTCTTTTGATTTAGAGAAACTTGGACGAAGTACACACTAACGTTGACATTAAAGGGAAGACTTACATAATGGAAATGCTGGCAGTGCACTCTTCGGACTTTTTCGTGTTTTCACTGTTGTTTTTGTTTTTTTCTTTCACTGTTTTTGTTGCTTACTCCGCTTGAGTTGCCGCGTCTATTTACTTGCATGACATTGCCGGAAATAGAAATTGTTATAATCATGAATGCAACGCTGCACTGTCAACAATACACACAACAACCATAACAACAAATATAGTTGTGGCACAAAATTGTTAACGACAGTTATATGCTGTTATGCACACACAAATTAATACAAGTGGCTCTCAACTAGCTTGTATCTAAAGAGAATAGTCTTAAACTGGATTTATTCTACTGCTTTTCGGACCACTGCCGATTATTTTTCGTACCACGCAATTGTGAGTTCGAAACGAAGAAGATTGTCTTCTCTTATGTCTTGACTTTTATCTGAGGTGGACGTTTGAAGTTGTTTCATATATGTAGAAAACGGCTTAATTAAATGGTTCTACTTTTTATAGTAGCTTTCAAATACTTTCCCAATTTCGATCCCGATAAAATTCCTTTTCTTCTCTTTATCGTCTCATCAGTTCCAAAGATCTAGTAGTTTTTCGATAAAATTTTAGCCATTCTTTCCCTACGAGGTTTCATGACAGGACGGCTCTACGGAGCATTATCTGCGTTAGTGTCTGTATGTTGATTGTGCATTTTGACTTGGCAATAGCAGGAAGTAATTTGAATTATGCACCATTTATACTTGCTACTAAGCAATTTTGTGATTTCGAGAAAAGTTTCACCATGAAAAGTAATTTTTGGCAAAGCGGATATGCAATTGAAATGAAAACGCTGGCTCGAAGTTTTCAAACTCACTAAATATCAAAAGGTTTGCAAAGCGTACGCCCGCCGAACGGAACGCGCACGTTGTTGGCAGTAAAATCTAAACTAGTTTAGCGCGAAGTCTTACAAGTCGATAAAGTGTGTGAATATAAACGAGCGAACTGGAAAAACTCGTTCCGAAGTGAGCTGATGCCATTTGACAGACACTAAATTAAAGCGAAGTTGCTTAAAAGTGGGTCAGGAAGTTAGGTATAGGTATTGTGAAAAAAAAATCTCATAAATTTCAAGAGTTTTTTAAACCAAAATATTATTAGGAAACCGTTTAGATTAGGTTTTATAGAGAATAAGTAAATTTACATGTATTTTGTAAATAAATATTATTTAATAAATCATATGAGAAGAACACTCTAGAGTGACCACTAATGTGAAATAATTTGTAAAATTTTATACGCATAAAAGAATGCTTGCCATACCTATATCGAGTGTACATATATTTGAGAATGTTCTCCGAAAATTTGAATGTATGAACTTCTTTTACACAATCTTCTTGAATCTAAGGCACCCAAAATTTTTCAAAAATAAACGCCGTTTATTAAATTGTTTTAAATTCTACACATTTTTACATTTACATATTTTTATTTTATTAAATAAAATACCTCTTCCAAAAAAAAAATCACAAAAATACGTTTTATCTGATTTGCCTTACATGGAATGTAGTGAATTGCGAGAATGAGGTTGCCACATTTTTTAAAGGAAATTTTTACTTTGCCCTGACTTTGCTAAATTTCTAAAGAAAATACATTTATTATAAATATATAATACTGAACAAAATTAATGCAGCCACTTTTTAAAATCTGGTAGCCCCATTTCCCTCTTATGCTTAAAAATATGTATAAAAACAAATTATGTAGTAATTATTTTTAGTAATATTTCATCGTAAATTGTTGGTATAAAATATAGTTTTATTATAGAAAAAAATTTTTTTTTTAGTGTTGCCACATATCTTAAAATTTATGTCTATGTTTTTTTATGTATATGTCATTTCCAAATATTAATGATAAATGTAAAATCAAACAAAAAATCATATAAGACTGTGTGGGGTTGCCATGTAGTTTATTTTTAACCCATTTAATTTGGTATAAATTTATTTCTTTAAAATATATTACATTTTATATGTACTGGCATTCAATATCTTTGAAGTAGAAGGGAGGGTTACTCGGGTGAAACTGACCAATATCCCTCACAAATTGCATAATTTTGTGACAGCAAAAGAAATCTTTCGATATATCTATCAACAGTCGGCTGGACAGACAAATGTCGCAAAATCAATACATCTCGTTATATTGAGTATCTAATTAAAGCAATAAAATAAGTTTTCTTTTAGTTTTCAAGCGTTATTCTTCTCTTCAATAAAATCAATCCATTGCATCAATCCATTCATGTCAAGATTATACGATATCTTCAAAGTCTTCTTCAGTTTAAAAAGCTTTAATTAATCACTAATTTTGTTTTCTTTTTTGCTTTCAGGTGGAGGAACGGTGAATCCGTATTAACGTTAAGTCACACACGAAGAGCTTTCATTTAAAAAACGGTAAAAGCAACAAATTTGCAGAAAGTGCGTCTTAAGCAGACAGCGAAGGTACACATTAAAGAGAGAAGGGGAAAAAGTGAAAAAGCGAGAGGTGTGAAAATTTAAGTTAAAGTTACAAAGTGAGCGGAGAACTATTTTAAAACAAATTCTGTTATAAATATAAAAAAATATAAATAAAACAATAAAAAAATAGTATATGAGAAAATTAAAATATAAGAAACAGTTGTAAAAAGGAATAACATAAAAAAAAATTAGTAAAAAATAAAATAAATACAAATATTAATAAAAAAAAATGTTTAATAAAATAATTTAAAAATATTCAATATAAAAAAAAAACCAAATTGTAAATAAAAATTTCTTTGGAAGGATATAGCAAAAAATTTAAATAAATAGTGGCAATACTACAAATTCCAAAAACAAAATAATTAAGCTAAATATTTTGTAAACGAAAAAAAAAAAAAAAAAATGCCTAAATGCAAAGTTGCTGTAAAGTTTACACTTTCATAAGTTTCCACGTCCGTTTACATATTTGCAACAGTGTTAAAAGCATATTAAGACAAAAAGTGCAAGAAAACATACTAAAAGTTTAACGCTTACTCACTGACTAACTGATAAATACAAGAAAGAAAACACACACCTACACATTGCATACAATACATAAAGCGCGGGGGCGTATACGTAACCTCAATACAGTGTAAATAAATGGAATAAGAGCACTGTGCAGCGAAGCGAAGTCAAGTGCATGTAATGATATAAAGAATCAAGAGCAGTAAATAGAAGGAAAACAGCAAAAGAAAACTTAACAATAATAACAAAAACAACAATAAATAAAAAATGCAATAAAACTAGTGTGTGTGAGTAAATTATTGACGGCTGCAAAGTGTACGAAAGTGTGAAGTGAAGTGAGCGAAATTGAAGGGAAAGGGTAATGGAAAAGGAACACAATGGAATGCAACAAAAAAGAAATTAAAGAAAACTTGCAAAAAATTAAACTTAGAAAGTAAATAAAATACAAATAATGAAGTTTACGAGCAGCCGGCGGCAGCGAAAAGCTGCAAAGCCGACGTAAAGTGAAAGCCAGAGCGGGAAGGAGAAGATAAAAATTAGTAATTGATAAACATTTGTTGTTCTAATGCAATGTGGAAGGCGGTGAAAAGTTAAGTAAAGTGTGGACGTGATAAAATAGAAATAAAGAAAAAGTAAAACAAATAAATAAAAAAGCATAAGAAAAAATAAAAAAAAAAACAATAAAAAAAAACTTATGGCAACTATTTGCTAGAGGAGACGTGGCGAGTGCAACAAATGGCGCACAAGAGGCAGCAAATTAAATATCAATAGTGTTATTGTGGCATACAAAGCATTAGCGGAAGTAACTATAAGGTGTAATGTAGATGGTTGCGTCTGCAAAAACAAACAGTGAGCCGGAAAGAAAGAAAAAATAAATAAAACACTAAAAAGAAATAAAAATAAAGATAACGAACACACATATGCGCCACGAAAGGTGAAGAAGCCAGCATTTCAAATTACTATCCGTGCAATGTTGCTGCAGGCGGGGCCTGTCATGGTCCCAGTGACGCCAAACAGCGATAAAATGTGTTGTTGTAGCGAAAACAACAACCAACACCACCCTACCGAAGAAGGCTCAAAACGAAAACCCCATAATACTTGCACCACTTGCCACCAACTGCAGGCCAGCAGCATTAAAAAGAATGTATGTAGTACACATTTAGGCGCTATGCCAGGTGGTGATGCAAAACCCGCGTTAGTGCGACACTTACGGCTTTGGCAAGCGTGTCGTCGGCGCAGGCGGCGTAAAAAGGGTGGCGGAGAAATGAGAAATGCACACAAAAACAATAACAATAACAGCATACAACGCTGTAATAAGCATAAGCAAGCGAGGGTGGCACGAACACGACGTACAATGCATGCAACAACTACACGCGGTGCTATTGAAAAGCGAAAATTAAGAAAGCGCGTAATCAGTAGCATGGCTACAAGCAATTGCAGTGGCGCAGCGTTGGCAACGCGCTTGTTGCTTGCGGATTACAACGACAGCGGCATGTTGCAAGCGCGAAACAGTAATTGCCTGCGAGCAAGAACAACAACAACAACAGCTGCAGCGGCTGCTAGAGTGGCATTGGAAAGCCGTGCAAAGGAGCTGTTGGGTTTACGTAGTGCAAGAGCAGCAACAAAAACAACAACAACAATAGTAACAACAATAACGGGAACAAGGCCGTTGTCGAAATTGGTGAAATGTGAGCGCCCAATAAAAAATGCCACACTAGCAACAACGGCATCTGAACAACAGCCAACACCGTTAGCCTGCCTGCATCAACAGCAACAACTCGAAACTGGGTTTCAAGTTGACAGCGCAGGAATGTTGCGTGCCCGTAGCAGCGGCAAACCCGCTGGTGTATCGTTAGAACAACAGCTTATCACACGTGAGTTCCAAAATAAGCAGCTGCAACAACAACAACAACACTGCCTTCAACTAACAACTGCTGCGGCACTACAGCAACCAGCTGCCAAAGTAAACTACTTGCAACATCGAAGTTGGCGAAATTTAATTGGATGTGTGGCAAGCACATGTCCAACAACAACAGCTACCATTATAAATACGATCACAGCAGCAGCAACAAACGTTATTGCAACAGCGCCAGCAACAACAGCAACAACGCCAAGTGCACCCAATTGCAACGCGCATTGTTCGGCTGTCTCAGTTGTGGACACAAAAATGTCAACTACTCGTACGCTGTCTGCCAAGCAAAACGTTGCGAAATCAACAACATCAAAATTCGTGTGTGTTGAAATGAAAAATATATCAGCGCAGCAGCGACATGTTGTGCCGTGTGTCATTGCGCGTAAATCCAAGTGTCGAAGTACTATCGCGCTGACAAGCGCATTAACAGTGATGGTGAAAACAGCAGCAGTAACAATAGCAAAAAAAGCAATTCAACCGGCAAAATCTACAAAACGCGATAAACCAACACAAATAAAATTAGCTAGAAGCAGAGCAACAACAACAACTACAGCAATGTTATTTGGCAACATTTTCACAGTACTTGTCGGTTTGCTGACGCTACATGCTACTGGTGAGTGCAACACATACTTTACATACATATATGTATACATAATTTGTAAATAGATAAAATTATCTACCACAAATCATTCTTCATAAAATATATAGTTTTAGTTTTTAATAAAACATTATTTTAAACTGTGGGAAGTTTAATTCAGAGCTTAATTTTTCCTACTAAGTTATGAATTTCGTATAATGAAGATGCAAAAAAATTATCGATTTTAAATTGAGTAAAATTTTGTCCATATATATGCCATATTTCAAAAACACTTTTTTCTTATTTTCATTACCAATATTACAACGCTGTAGCTTTTTCGATAGTAAGAGTGTCGATTTTTTCAATAACAAAATTATCGATAGTTATTTACTTTTGAATCTAAAATTAATAATTAATAAATTTAAGATTAATGTATTCAATCTGATATTATCGATTTTTTTTATAATATAATGATCGATTTTTCGATAACAAAATTTCCGATTGTTATTTTCTTTAAATTTTCAAATAAACACATTAATCTTGATTTTGTTACTGATATTATGTAGCTACCAATTTTTTCTATAAAATAATAATCGATTATTTTTTTTTAAATTTTAGATACACAAATTCATTGTTAAACAAAATTATTCGCCAAACTAAATTGCTTAAAGCTTGTCGTAAAATTTTAAAAACTTATTTTTTCCACTTTCGTTATTAAAGAGCAAACGATTTTTTTTCGATAAGCAAAACTGTCAAAATTTCAAATTTTAATTTCGCAACTTTTTTTTATTTTCATTATTGGTAGTACTAGAACGCTGTTCTAGTCAAGAAATAAAAAAAAGTCGAAAGTCAAAAAGACTATTCAAGAATTTGTCTACAAGAGGATTTTTCAAAATTCAAATTGGTATTTTCCCGACCTGGTATTCAAAATGGTTCCTAAAATCTGTTTTTCTCGAAACTGTCTTTTTCAAAACGATACCCATGATATCTCAAGTTCTACTGGACTGAGTTACCTAAAAGTTTCAGAGAGTCTTTGCCTGTCTATGCCGAAAAAGTCAAAAGAAATGGTACAAAAATTATTCTCTTTCAGGCAGCCGTCATTTTGAGAAAAGTTTTTTGGCGGTGAAATTTATAGTCTCTATTTAATTGACTCAATCAAGCAATGTTTCTTTGGTTTGAAGGAAATAAGGGCGCCACTAGTTTGAAAGTAAAAGGCAATGATATGATAAAGAAAATGTATAAACTATTTAATATACATAGCTTTAGAAACCTAAATTCATTACAGTTTACCTAACAGCTTCTTAAGCTTTTACACATAAAACGCATCCTGAATAGCTAATAAAGTGTCTCCCCTTACCCTTATGTATTGTCCTGCTTAATATAAATACTTTCACGAATAGTTCCGCTTCAATCGTCCAAAACACTTATTTCGCGGCGCCAGGCCAGAGCTCAATATAATTTATTATGGCATGCATGGGATTTGCGGCCTGCGCGTAGCTGCGTGTTGCGGCGTGTTGCGTAGTGACTTCAATCTAGTGCGGCACAAGCTCATAGGGTGAGGCAAACCAATGCTCAATACCATTTAATTTACAAAGACTGAAAATACACTAAATGTGCTACTGAAGTACTTGTGCTGGCAGGCTGTTCGGTACAACTAGCTGGTTAACCATCTACTTCTACTGTTGGCAATTCATCTGATAAATGATTTCGCAGAATTGTTGCGCCGAAGCTTACAATTTTAGGTAATTTTATAAAAGATGCGCCTTAATATAGATTAAAATGTTCGATTCGAATTTGCGTTGCCTACATTTAGGGTAAAAATATTTATGCAAGCATGGCGTTCAAGATGTAATAAGCGTGATAAACAATTAAAGCGTGAAACATAGTTCTGTGAAAGTCTAAGCATCTGTATTTCATATTTCTATTGTTCACTTGTAACTATACATCATTAATTCTGTAATAATGAGTCTTATGTTTGGGTAAGATATCATGGATCTAATACTACCACATTTACATATTCGAAGACATATCTTCATCTATGTACATCTTTCTCCAGCTTTTTAGCTTCGACCTCATATATTTTTCTTCCTTTTTGTTCACTTCATGATTGATTTCGTTTATGTTTGAAATATTATACTAGCATTTATACTATATTTCGTACATCGTAAGCATTTTATTATTTTTTGACTAATCTCCTATAACAAGTTTAATTCATCGAGACTTTTAAAGGGATTATCAATATTTACCACTCTGACACCTTTGTTTATTTTACTTTTTATTTATTTTTTGTTTTCGTTTGTTTAAATAAAAGTCAACTTGAACTTGACTCTGAACTTCACAAATTCCTCATGCTAAAATATATTTACTCCCCTCAAATCTCCTTTCTTTTCGCTGGTTAACCAACTGTCACACCTTCCATGCCACTTTGTGGATCTCTAGAGCCTTACATCAACGCCAGAACGCACTTTTTTATTATTTGTAGTAAGAAAGTTTTACAAGCCGATTGCCACAAAGGACCTCACACCACCTGCTAGCAACACACAACCAAAGAAAAAACTTTTCAACCAACGCCCACTTCCCTTTCTCTGCAGTGCTGCAGTCCTTTCAAGAGAAATATTATCCAACTTGATTGCGGCATCTTCCGCAGTTTATTTGTGGTTCGCCGCACACATGGCGTGCATATGTGCCTTCCTGTGTATATGTGTGTGATTGAGTGTGTGTGATTGAGTGTGTGCTTTGCAAGCGTTTTGTTTCATAAATAATTCATTAAGACTTTTCAATTGATTTATGTATGCACACGACAATGGCGTAGGGACAAAGTTTTCGCGCACATTCCGACTCTCCTTTATTCGCAAATTCTTATATTTCGCCTGCTATTCTGCCTTTTCTACGGTTCTTTATAACTTTTTTTCGCATTTTGCGGGTGGCAATTGGAAAAAACCGTTGCATGATTTCTTTCCGCAAATTTACATGCCACCCAGAAAGTTTTAGTTTGTATGGATAGTTTTCTACTTTTCTTTTTTATACCCATAAAACATGTGGCACAGAGTATAATTTTTGCTCAACTAACGGAGTTTAGGTTATATATAAGTTGTAATAAGAAAATATTCATTATTTTTGTATTTAATTATAGGTTTTATTGAGCATATATAAAACGATCCGATTTAGATCAGATATACACCGTTTTGTTCGATAACTCCATAATACCACTCTCATAGAAACCCTCGTACCTATTGGTAAAAAACTGGTTCACTCGGTTTTCACCAGCAAAATTATTCGCCAAAGACAGGAATAGGTATAATCACCTAATGTCAGGTCTGCACCTACTTTAGTGCATAAGAACCTCCCAGCCAAGCTCCCGAAGCTACTAACGAGTCGATATCGATGTGTATGGCCTGGCGTTGTTGTGGTAGAACACAATTCCTCTCCTTTTGGCCAAAGCTTGCGGCTTCTGGGCAATTGCTTCCCTCAGACGCTCCAATGGTTGTTAGTACAGGTCCAAATTAGGAGTTTGGCTGTAGATAAACAGTTCATAGTAAACGATTACTTGATAATGCCACCAAAAACATCACAAAACCTTTTTGACCGTCAATTTGGTCTTGGTCACCATTTGTGCCGGATCAATAGTGATAAAAATCGGACTACAGCTTCTCATAGTCTCCATATAAAGTATTGCGGACTTCCCGTAATATTTCAACCGCCATTCGCTTGATTTTTAATTTCGTCCGTACTCAACTCTTCCTTACTTTTTTGTTTATTCATTTTTAAGGAGTGTATGGTCTGACCTTATGCGTGAAACATTACATAAATGTAGAACGTGTGCGAATGTTTAGTGCGTGTAGCAATGTTAAGCTCAGTGTGCAAAAAAATAACATATAATACTTCTTTAGCAGTAGGAAAATATTGGGCAATCACCAGAAATGTCATTCCAACGAACGGGTATGATAAGTTAAGTGTGTGTTGCAAAGGTTTTTTTTTTTCGCCGGCAGAAAACTCGAAGGTTGGAACAGATATTTAATTTAAGCTTTATCCACAACTGATATAACTTTGCTGTAAGCCTGCAAGGACTTGATAGCCGATCAACTAAAGAGAGGATGGTAAGAGAAAGAAGAAAGTAGGGTCTACTTCCAGAATTAAAAGAATAATTGAAATTATGAAAGATATGAGAATGAACAAGTAAGGAAGGGCTAAGTTCGGATGTAACCGAACATTTTATACTCTCGCAAAGTCAAATGGTATACTCGTTTGAGATTTCTTTGTGGATTGACTGATATTTTCGGTAGAAGGTCAACTATAGGCACTGGGGTCCACATATTTAGTACTTAGGGGCTTGAACATTTTTGGTTCGATTTAGACAATTTTTGGTCACACGGTGGCATACTTTAAACGTATTATTCACGCAAAGTTTTACCCCGATATAATCATTGTTGCTTGATATGCATAGTGTAAAGTGAAAGAATCAGTCGAAATTGAAAATGGTGTTATATGGGAAATAGGCGTGGTTGTAGTCCGATTTAGCCCATTTTCGCAATATAACATAGAAATATGAAAAGAACGTTATGCACCGAATTTAATGTCTCTGGCGTGTTTAGTGCTTGATTTATCGCGCTTTTAGTAGTTTTTAACAGTACCGTTATATCGGGAGTGGGCCACCCGATTTCAACTATTTTCACACTGTACGTAGAGGTTCTTAAAACATTTGCTTCCAGAGAATTTTGTTATTATAGCATTAGCGGTTTAGGAAATATGCATATTAAATCTATTAGAAGCGGGACCACGCCCACTTTTAAAACTGCAGATGCCCCTCCCTAATGTGATCCTGTGTACCAAATAACAGTCTTGTATCTTATTGCGGAGCTTAGTTATGGCAATTTTTTTTTTTTTGATTAATGGCGTTTTGTGGGCGTGGCAGTGGTCCGATTACGCCCATCTGCAATACCAACCGTCTCACGGTACCAAGAAACATGTCTACCAAGTTTCATAAAGATATCTCAATTTTTACTCAAGTTACAGCTTGCACGGACGGACAGACAGTC